CTTAATGAACATATTTCACAGAAATGAGTCTACTCTACAGTGTCTCTTTTCCAGTACACTCTTATTACAGTATTAGTATAGTTGTCTATAACCTGCGGAGGTTCAAGCTATCACGACGACAAAAATTGTTACATTAGATTGTCTCTAGTACATCCACTATCAATGATAGTAGAAATTGTTTCAGTACAAGTTCTTCGCTATACATCAGCTACTCGTTCTTTCTGATGTTCCATAAGTAGTCGTACGAATCAAGCAAGTAGTTTTCCATTTCCTGTGCTTGTTGGATGCTATTAGCTCGCTTAGTACGATACCAGAGGTCACATCCACGGCGAATGCATTTATTAAAAAAGACTCTCTTATGAGAACCATTATTGCAGTATTCCTGGATCCTATCCTCCAAGGAACCTTTCTTTCCTCTGCATGTACTTCCTACATATACAACTTTTGAAACGTCGGCGTCGGTATCCGGCTCAACGATTTTCCATTCGTAGATACCACAATAAATTCCATTAGGAACTTCCATATCATTGAACTTGTATCCTTCTTGTCCTCGGCCGCGCTGAACATAACCTGCTGACGGTGTACTTCTTATAGCTTTAAACCAACGAGACCAATTTGTATCAAAATGTTCCTTTTCACGAAGTGGTTTTGCCGCGGCCATATTCATGAAGCGTCCTTTCACTTTCAATGGCCCGTTCACGATGAAGATTCGGCTTATATTACGATGTGACGTCAAAYTAATGCTATGATAAAACATGACTTTCCGTTTCGTCAAAGCACCAGAAATACCGCGGTTTTGATAGGGACAGCTAGCTAGAGACTCGTACCTGGGACAAATATTCAGTCAACTGTTCAGTCTCCTCCAAACATTTACTTCTTTTCAACCATTTTTCTCTTAGTCCAAAAAACATCATAACTTCTGTCATGACAAATCTTTGCTATAATATGTAAGATTTAACCAAACATTTCTTCGTGATGTCCCCTATACTATACGGGGAAGTTCCGCCAAATAGGATATGAAGTTCGTTGTCTTGAATAGGAGTGTACTTTCTATGTTTACAGGAGTCCATTTCTGATGTTTACCCATATACAGGGCGGCAATATATATCTAGAAGATTATAAAGTCAAAATGATCCATAGTSTGACCAACTATTTCTTGAGAGAAGAAAAGAAGGCGAGCGGACTACCGGTGGTATTACGTCACGATCCCGTGCCTCAGTCGAGTCAGTGAATTTGGTGTCATGATTTTGTTGATGTGTCTGAAGAAGCGCTAAATTAAAGGCGTCTCAAAACTCGTACATTTTAAAAGGCAAGAACAACATCAACAACAAACGCGGCTCGTAAATGTTAATAAAATAAATTGCTACGATAAAAATCTAACATGACTAGATCAACTATATTTCAGTTGAAAAAAGAAAGAGAGAAAGAAAGAAAGAAAGAAAGAAAGAAAGAGAGAGAGAGAGAAAGAGAGAAAGAAAGAAAGAAAGAAAGAAAAAAAAAGAATTTTTTAGACGACGTGCTCCAGTCGAGGATCGAACACTGAAACTCTGGATTATGGGTCCMTTGGGATTGCTAAACTGCGACGTGAAAAAAAAAATAAAGTCGTTGCATATAACCTCAGCTCTTCGGCCTGGACACGGGTAATAWCATACTTTGTGCCGTTGTGCCCGCTTTGTGCGTAATATGAACCACATCCACGAGTTATTGATAAGAAATAGCCACTGACCATCAATATCACCGGCTCATGACTTGATTTGTCTATTCTTGTACGTGCTATGTACGTGCTCATAATCACATCATAACACCTTTCCATTGTAAACTATTGTAAAGCCAATYATCATTCACACCTAAGCGTCAGTTCTCACACTCCAGACAAGACATGGCAGAAGCGGAAACAGAGAAAGCCAAAAGAACTGTCCTTATTCCTGTTGATGGCAGCGAAAATGCAAGCGAAGCATTTGAGTGTAAGTCTCTTAAAATTTTAGCTGGCAAGAATGCAAGAATATTATTAAGTTGTCACGGAATACTTAAGCTTACTGCTCTTTTGCATTGCATGGATATCCAAATGAACATTTTGTAAGTCGAAATACTGACATGAGATGGACAAAAATTACGATTCTCATGCCSTCTGTTACTATGATCCATAGATGTAAGTCGAAAAATGTAAAAGCGTGCATTATTTATGATGGCCTGGTTTTTATTTTAAAAGCTTAAACGCAAGCATAAGCGTAAAGCGGAAACACACACACACAAATCATAATGTAAGCGCAAGCATAAGGTCCTTAAGACTTACAACAGTTATAAAAGAAGTAGAAAAATAAAGACAAAGTATTGAGTTACAAGGAAAGAATTAACTTAAGTATAACTTATGAACTTTGAACTGTTATCTTCAGATATTTCCCCACTCGAGTGTTACTTTAAAAGCTTATACTTACTGACAGTTTTCCTCAATAACTATATTTCTTTAAGTTCAATTTATATTACACATTTGGGGTCAAAAATGCACATGTCACTTGAATGGGAGACTATTATAAGAAGTCATGACTTTAGAAGAAATTGCTTTTTTGGTTTTAGTGCAAATTGATAATTTGCCATAACAAACTTTCTTGTGCATTACTTTCAAAAGCAACCTGCTCTTTAATTTTACAATGAAATCTGGAGCTCCATCACATGCATTTCTTGCATTTCTGTTGCCACTTGCATCTTAAATGCAAATAGGAAATTCTTTGGATTCGCGCTGTGCTGAGGCAATGGCCTCTGCTGTGTCAGCAGTATATTTGCAAACTCTCATTAATTTCAATATCCTTGTACATCAGGTGTTCCTTGCCTGAGCATTAATCACATGATTAACCATTGATAAGTCTTGTCATGCTTACCTWMTGTGTTGGTCTTATCTCAGGTCAATTAGTCTATTTTATTATTATGACCCATATTGTTGACCTTGCACTCCTTTGGAAAACAATGCCATGACTGCRYAGTTATGCAGTCATGTAGCATGCCCTTTGGAGCTCCCACTCTGTCAATCATTACATAATAAGCATCTTCGAAGACTAATACAATGCTGGTCTTGACCATGGCCTGCTTTTACTATTGATTGTTTGCTCTTTGCAACAAGGAAGGTGCAAACAGTAAAATCAAACATTGGATTTTGCTCTTCTTGCACACTCAGACTTGCAAATGTACTAAATAGGTGTGCTTGACATTGGTACCTGGCCAGACAATGATGCCAAAGTGATCAAAGTTGTGGCACTCCTAGTAGGTACACTAGGGTTTGTTGAACAGCTASGGCTTATTAGGTCAGGCAAGACAGCATTTTACTACTGTATCAATAGGCACAATGCACAATCATATTTAACAAACTGCGCATGGTTTTGAGTTGTCTGTCCTCATATTTTCTCACTCTTGACCTACGGGTGCACAGGGCCGTAGCCAGGGTGAATGGACAACCGAGGCAAGTGRCCGCCGATGGTGGGAGAAACTAGGGGGGGTCTGGGGGCATTCTCCCCYTAGAAAATTGGAAATTCAGTCTCTCGGAAATGCAAGTTGCAGCATTTTGTGGGCCTTTTGGTAACTCTTTATTGAACAGATTTAACCGGAATTCATCATGCAATATTTATGAAACAAAGAAGCTACACGTACAAAATTACGTACAAAAATAACATTATTTTGATATTTTTTTGCACAAAATCAGTTGTGCGAAATCGGCTCTGAGAGGCTAAGATAATATTAGTGATGAAGAACAAAAAGCATCGGCAAAATTTTACCGAGGCGAGTGCCTCGGTTGGCCTCTTACTAGCTATGGCCCTGGTGCAGCGAGTCTAAAAATTAGCAAAAACATTCTTTTCCTTCAACTGAGTGTGTGCGTGAGACATAATGTTGTCAGCAAAGTGTGCATGTCCTCTTATTGACACAATTTTATCAGCCAATCAGCAAGCAAGAATTTATACAAGTGTTGTAAAAAAAKGTGATTTAAAATTATTGTTGATGATAATGGACCTTTCTTGATACATGGATGACTTACAATGTAGGCAAGCATGGGTTGTATAGCTTGACATGATCTATCACATGAGGACAAGGTAACRGGGGATTTCAAATGTCATGTGATCACAASTAATGGTGGCACAGTGGAGACTGTCAGCTTGACAACAAGTAGGAATCAAAAATAGCTGCGAAATTTGTATAATCAAGCTCCATTTAATTTAATTCAYTGTCAGAAGACAAATTGGAGATATTTTTTGGGGTAGTAAAGACACTTTGATTATTCTTTAAAGGTATCACCAATTCCTCTCCCAGGCATTTCATTAGAAGCTAGCAACTGGTGAACTCTGGTGTCTATTCTGACATTTGAGCCTGCTACTTTTGCAAAATTATTCAACAATTTTGACCTTTGTAATTCTCATGAAGTTACATGTACCTATTCAGAACACCTAGCACCTATTTCCAAATGAAACTCTAGCTACCCTCCAAGCACTATTGTCATATATATTTTTTAAGTTACTTATTTGTTCCRATTTTGTTCTTATTTTTGCCTAAAATTCCATTTTCCTGCCATCAGTGTCACTTCCTGAAATACGTTTCCAATAAAATAATAATGAGTGAGAAAGGTACATGAATAGCACTAGTTTATTGATGAAATATTTCATCCTTTTTTGCAGTTTATTTAAAGCAAGTTATTCAACGAGGAGATAGAGTTGTTGTTCTTCATGCATTTGAGCTTCCTCCACTACCATACTCATCAGGGCCTTGTAAGTAAGATATAATTCAAATGATAGTTTATTTTCTCTAGTATTTGATAATAATTGTTTTATTTGCAGTTATTGCATTTCCTGATAATTATTTGCGGATAAACTGCATTAAAAAAACTGTTTGTCTCCTTTTGTTTTATCAGATAGTTCTATCATTATACACAGCCGGYAACACTTTGATTTGTTTCTGTATTTTTTGTGTTCTTTCTTTTTTGAACGGAAAGCATTATTTCCTTGTTTGTAGGCCATTGCATTCTTAATAATGTGCCCCAACAAGAAGAAGGAATAAATGATAATGGTTAGCAGAATCGTTCCACTATCTTTTGTGATTCTTCTTTACAAATTAAAAAGCGATATACCATTAAAAATGCATTTTAACCTTAATCAAGCTGACTTGAATAGATCATTAGTTCATATTTTAGATCATTATTTATCAGGTGCCTAACATAAAAAACAAACAAACAAACAAAAAAACATCAGTAATTTGGAAGGTCTATCAGAAATAGGCATTTGTAGAAAGTTTGTGAGCTATAGACAAAAGCTAATAAAGGAATGATATAAAGGAGCAAATATAAAAGGATTTGTATGAAATTCTTTGCTGATGCCATTGCAGSCTCATTCTGGTGTTTTAGCCTTTCCGTACCCTCTTAACTTTAACCTTATAACAAGAGAATATTTTCATATTTTTTCTCTGAAATAGAACTTAACTTTTAAAAGCTTTGATATCTACAATCTGCTTTCAACATTGAGTTCAAAGATGATATGCTAATTAGCGGCACTAATTGATGAAAATTGTCAACTAAATTGTATCTTGGTTGCAGTTGTTTTTGCTTACTATGAAGAATGGAGCCAGATGGTCAARGAAACCAGACAAGCACATGAAGTGATGTTACGAAGTTATGARGATCAATTGAAACAAGTTAATGGTGAAGAACCAGGGAAAGAACCTGATGAAAAATGTAAAAAAGACAAAAAGGTTCGAAAATCAATWAAAATWAAAATAGAAAAGTGAGATAATCAAAGATTCGAAACGCACAGTACAAGTTATAGACTTTCGGTAAACTGAAAATGGCCACCTTCGGGCCCCAAAGTATAATGGTACACACTGGCTTTTAAACATATTTACAATTTCGGCTCACATCTTTGTCACTCGATTCAAGTTAATTTTCAATATCCTTAAAAATTTAGTTCGCTAGACTTTTATTATTTTAATTTTGTGTCAATCTTTAAAAAAATGACCCTTAAATGTAAGTAGTTTGAGATCCTAAAACTCAAATCAGGATGTTATTTTCGGAAATCAAAAGGCGCGCTGAGCACTATTATACACCTCTCGTTTTTAGTCCCACTCTCTCATTGACCTRAAACAGGAAGCCCGTTATTTTTAGGAAAGATCAGACGCGTGYGGAGGGTGCTACTTCCTCCACTTCATATTTTCACCTTGACACTCTTTAAWTGTCTTTATTACAGATTCATTACGAGATCATCATGGTTGTGGGTAAACCTGCCGGCGAAGTCATCTGCCAGGTCGCAAAGGATGAAAATGTTGACTTAATCATAATGGGAACACGTGGYCAAGGCGTGGTTAGACGTACGTTCATGGGAAGTGTTAGTGATTATGTTGTACACCATGCTCATATCCCAGTAGGAGTCATCCCACGTCAGTGTCAATCATAAAATGAGAAATAATTTAGCAATGATGAAATTTCAACTATTTTAGTAATTTAGATTCAGATACCAATTGCATTCGAAACAACTTACAATGAAATAAAATCCTTACAACTTGTTATTATTCAAATTTTCTTTTTGTAAACTCAGGATTCTGATTGTTTTAGAATGTACATTCTCTCAGGATAAATTACCTGAGCCATAGTATTTGTGAAACAGACATCAGGCTAATTATCAAAGACTGCCTGGGGTTTACRTCTTGATTTTCTCGTGGCAAATTMTAAGTCCATTTTACGRTTATATCTGAAATTCAAAATTGGAGTGCGCAACTCCACTGGCGAGAAAAATCATTCAAGTTTGAAACAGTTCCTGAAATATTTGGATTTCTGCAAATCACTCAAATAAGAATATCAAACCAACCTAAAATCCGCCAACACAAAAACTCTGCTAATTTTCTCCTTTTTTTCTTTTACTCTTTTTCTTTTACGACCCACAAACGTTTCTCATGTACATTTCTGTTTTGTGAAAATTCGCACTAAAATGGCAGATTTCACCGAACCGAAAACCTTCATGATAATTCTTATCTTCTCTGTATGGTGAGTGTTCCTCTTTTTTAAACCGTGATTAATGAGAGAAAGGAAATGAGACGCCATTGAATAGAAACTACATTTAAATAGAACGAGAGTGATTAAATTCTGCGCATAAGATTCGGAAAATSGACATTTTATTGCGGCTTTCTTAAATTGTCCTCACTTTCGTTTAGTAGTATATTWTAGTAACCTGGTTTATAACTAGACGTTTATATTCTATAAAAACAGTCTCTCTAATTAGCTTTTGATGATTATTTYAAAAACCATTAGCGCATTACAAATATTTCTCGGTCAGTAAAACCCCTTGACCGTAGTTACGCATGGAGATTGACCTGTCCTTCTGTATTTTTAACAGTTTTCTTATTTCAGATATGTTAATTTTGTCACCATTTTGCGCCGCTTACAAGTGAATTATTTCTTGCACATGCAGTGTTTGCTCCATACGGGCAGCTGTGCAAAGCAGACCGAAAAAAGAGATTTTCATTTGATTGCGCGCGGGCTTTTTAATCCTTTTTTTGACTAAAACTGATTGAGGACTTGAGTCGCTCGTGGAAAAGGAAGGAAGTTTACCACTCACAAACTCATTATAGATCGATCTTCGCGTCCTTTTGTAAATTGGAGATATTTCAAGAGAGAATGAGGATATTTTAGCCCTAAATGGATGGACTTTGTGCTCTCTTAGCCTCATCAACTTTTAAGTAGTTGTTTTGAATTTTTTTTTTGGCATCAGCTTTCCACTCTTTACAAACGTACGAAATGCTATAACTGTTGCGCCATTTAAAGTGACTGAAGAAAAATATTCTGTAAATGCCTATGCTGTGTGTTTAGGCGATTATTGTACGTTGTTTATAACTCACTATACCCTCTATTCAATAGATATTCATGTTTTTTTTATTTTTAGTGTATTTTTTGTGTCAGTCATCAGTGTGCCTACCTACTGCTCGTGCCTTTTCAAATTCGTGACCATGGAAACGTTTGGAAAGGGAAGCTATTCTTTTAAAAGTCTGCTATAATTGGATAACCCTTATGACTCCGAAAGACAAAGAGTTATTTTTCTTGACTGTGGTTGTATTSGGAAGACAGACAGGATGGTGTGTGAGCAATGTGTGACTTCGGTATGATACGAAATGGAAAATGAAAAAGAAATTACGCAMGTGATTTGCGCAAATAAATTACGTAAGATGGGGGTCAAGTCTTAAAAGTGGTGCTATTGCTATCATTAAATCATTATTTTTATTATTATCCTCATTTTCCCATGAAAAGCAATACATTTCAGTCTTGAGTCTCGAAACTCTCTYATCTTTTACTWCACATGTTTTGGTCTGTTTTGTCTGGGTGGGGACCGAGAGGCTTAGCACAACTCAATACAAGTCACTACTGCYGTCAAACGATCAAMAGTGTACGGATAAAATGATTTAAACTGATTCAGAAATACTCCGCCAAGACTCTCGAAGTTGCTTGGCAATACGATGACAAATGCGTCGAATTCTAATCCTATATCAGTTGCGTCTATGAGAGTTTTATCTCTGTTTATGTTTTTTCTCTTTTGGCTAGGGTAAAATCAGCAGGCAGTATTTTTATAGATTCTAAATAACAATTGTTTACTCATTTATAAGTTTGGATTGGTTTGCCCACTTTAGCCATGACAGCAGAACAAAAGGCCATTGGTCAGCTGTCCAGTTTACTTCTGTTTAACGACTCCTAATGTCAATGTCGCATAGTGTAACGCAAGTGACATTTGATACSTTTAAAAAGCACGTATGTCAAAAATCTCGGGTTAAACGTAGACAACGYTGGTCGATTCAGTGCCTGCAGCAAGAATTCCTGCACCGCAGCTAAATCAATACTGAGAAGTTACGCCAAAGAGTCATCAATTTGGTSAGAGGATAAGCGCCACTATATCTCGCTGCTATCAAGATTAATGATAGAGGGAAAGCTCATTTACAGATTGCGTATTGAATCATCTTTATAAGTTGAATATTCATCACGGTGAATCATACAACTTAACTTCTACAAGAAACGGAAAGATTTAACGGTAAAATCCAAAACCAACATTGTCTTATCTTATGCTAATGAACATGATAAGAAATAACAACATTAATTTTCGTATCACAGTATCATTTAGCCGATGTATTTATAGCAACTGGAAGTGAATATTCGCAATTTTAGCGAAGGAGAGCGCTGGAGGCTTTGGACGTCATGAAACTGAAGATACATCGTCCAAAGCAAGTCATCGTTGTGGCTTTGGTTACATCGTTATTCTGGTTTTGCTTGAATATTGGTCTGCTATTCACCTATCAAASCAGCTCGATGGTGATCGTGAAACGACTCGRMATTGATGACACGATYCGTCTGTCACAACATGAACCGGGTAATTTGAATGCTACGGGATTGACACGTGGAAACGACCACCTCGCGAATATACAGCACACCAGAGACCATGAAGCTGGAAAAGCTAAAATTACCAGAACTCCTAAACCTGAAAAAATACAGACAAATGTAGAAACTACTATAGCAAAAGTYGATAGGGATATCAAAAATAGAATTGATAAAATTTTCAAAGACGAAAAGGACAGACAAAAGGATAACGAAAATGAACATAAAACTCTTAAAGCTGAAACCACAAAATTCACCACAAAAAAAAATTTCGATTTTGAGCCGGACGTGCGGGATCCAAATGGTCCCGGAGAGCACGGACAAGCWGTTATTATCAAAGAAAGCGAAAAACAAGAAGAAACTAATGGATTTAATAAACATGCTTTTAATGAGCTGGCAAGTCGGAAAATCTCTCTTCATAGGTCTATACCAGACACAAGAGAAGCCGGGTAAGTCAGGGAGGTGGGCTTCAGTAGCAGTAAATACTGCGAAAAACAGCTGTCATTGAGAAATGATCGAAGTGTTGATGTTGGTAAATGGGGCGAAAAGTCATTTTCAGAGTCCAAAATACTGATTTTAATATGTTACCATAAATCTTTAATAGTTACTTTATTTGGGTGGTTAATAATTGAGGTAAATTCAAACAGCAAAAATATTTGCTTAAGAAGTTATTACTTTTTTGTCGCAGTGCAATTWCAATTTTTTTCTGTTTGAATGAATATTGTAACGCTCAAGGCCGGGGAAACGGTTTACGCGCTTGCGAAAACTAAGAAATTTGGAGATTTGTGTGTTATTGTGCAGAAAACTWAGTTTAAAATATTTGAAAATCACAAAATTTGTTATTAAAACAAGCACCTTAGCAGTATTGTGTGATTCTCGCCAGTGCCACGTCACAGGTCGGCTTTTGATCTTTTTGCCCCTCGATCCCAACGGTTAACTAAAATATTAAAACATCCAACCGGGCATGAGTGACATGCTATCTTGACCCAACTTGACCATCAATATAAAAGTGATATGACATCGTCCAAATTTCGCATTTAATTGTCGAGGAAATCCGCTTTTAAAGATCAAATAAAGAGAACAACAGTTTGTCTCAAGTCACGATTAATTTCAGACGAGGTTTTGGTTGACAGGATATCGCACAAAGAACAAATTTTCTATATTRAATAAAAAACTATAATCTACATTTAAGATAAGTTATCAAACTGCTTGTGAAAACTCGTTATCAGCCATATATATGTATATATTATTTAAGATTAAGGGCTCGCACCAAGCTTAATAGGGATTCTAAAAGAGTATGCATCACACTCGTATTCAGTAATACCTTTTTAGAATRTGAAAAATCAAGGGCCTCCTTAAAAACTTCAGCACAAAATTGAGTTGTTTACGAAAACAAGAAATGAATTTCTGGCTCTTGATAATAGTTCAAAGGTTTTTCTAGATGCTAAGTGTCCACTTGTWGTATTTTCTCCTGGAGCTTATAATAAAGTGCTAATTCAAGATCTGGACTATAAAAATATCGTAGCAGAACTTGATRATTTGTCCAATTTCGCACCTTYTTTGTTGTGTCTCAGTCATGTTTTCTCAAGGACAAAAAATGAGAAAAAGCTGAAAAAAAGGAAAGACTTTATTTTTTATTTATTTTTTATTTATAAAACTAGTATTCGAGTGCAGATATCGTTTGACTGAAACGGTTGAGCTAGAACAGAAAAGTTTTATCTTTTCACACATTTATAAAGCTTCGCAAGCTGCAAATTTCAGTGAAAGGCCATGTTAGACGATATGCTTGATTTTAGTTCGCGTTTGTTTTAATAACAACCGTATCAAGATCAATTAGTTCGAAGGGCGTCCTATACTTATCAAGCTCCGGTAATAAACACAGTATTCTTGATAATCCTCTTAGCACCTCGCATACAAGGCGATGGAGAAAGCCTATAAAAGGAATTGTTTTCGAATACTTAATTTGAAGGCAAATTACTTAGCCCTTACTTCATCTAAATTTACTAGATTTTTTATTATGTACTATTGGTACTATTTAATTTAATTTACGAAATAAGAAACCTTTCTCGACAGAAATAAAATGTAGACAATGGAACAGTAGATATAGTAGTCTTTATGACTACAAGAATTAATTGTCTGCGAAACATTAAGCACGCGCGCTAACGTGGTGAATCTATTAACTTATAAATGAATGAAAAGTGACAAAAATGTCATGCAATTAAAACAACTATCAGTGTAATTTTTCTTGAGTCATCCGACTACTCTCAAAATCCAGCTTTCTTATCTACACGTGTTGAAAACAAAACGGCTTATAGATTTGCGCTCAGGTTAATCTCAGCTCGCATCCTTGTTTTATTCATGATAATCATAGACATTCATTCGTCCCTTTAAAGGTGTTTTTTTTTGTTTATGTACTCCAGTAGAAACTAGTATTTTTCCTTGTTTCAGCTGTTCAGCCAAGGAGTATCCTCACGACCTGCCTACCACATCAGTAGTCATATGTTTTCACAATGAGGCGTGGTCAACTCTGCTTCGAACTGTACACAGTGTGATTGACAGGAGCCCCGCCCATTTACTTTTTGAAATTATTCTTATTGACGACTTCAGCTCTCACGGTAAGAACTCTGAATGACGCGTCCAACATGTTGGTACATKATCTGCGCAAATCTTTAACATTGTAATACTCTCTCTTTGAATAGAACTCTGAAGCTTTTGACGTCATATGACGTATACGCAATGCATTGTAGGATATGTTTGGGACAAAACATGGCGGATTTTCCTTTTTTACTCGAAAAAGGGATCCCACAATGCATTACAAATAACATATATGACGTGAAAGCTTCATTTAAGTCTATTTCGTGTCTCCGTTGGGACCATTTTTGTATATTCAGTGACAGCCTGGTGAGCTGTCCCATCGTTTTTTAATAATTACTTCTTCTGATTCGTAGATTATCTGAAATCCAAACTACAAGCTTATGTGTCCTCAAGACTGAAAAAGGTCCGCATAATAAGGAACAGTAAACGCGAGGGACTCATTCGTGCACGCCTTATTGGTGCCAGGGCTGCTAAAGGACAAGTAATTACGTTCCTTGACGCCCACTGTGAGGCGAACGTTGGTTGGTTAGAACCGTTGCTAAGTCGTATCCATAGCGACCGCACTATTGTGCCCGTTCCTGTAATAGATATAATCAATTCTAAGACGTTTGCATACTCGGGTACACCGTCTGCTGTGATTGGTGGGTTTAGTTGGGATATGCAATTCACATGGCATTCTTTACCGCATCGGCGCGAAAAGGAAAGATATGATAAGACTGACCCTATAAGGTATGACTGCACTGTTATTTTTCTTTCATAGAGCTATTTATTGAGACTTGATATCTCTATTTTTTATGCGTAAAGAAAGAACCAATCAAAACGGACCGATATCAGTGTTTTTTATATCAATTTCTTTTTCGTTTTGCGCGTACATGCATGGTGACGTTACGTGAAATTTATGTTTGGTTCTTAAACAAACGCTGCTGTGCACAGACACGTAGCGCTATATCACAAGGTCAAGTCTCTGTCATCGTAATCATAATCATAATCATTACTGCTCATCGCCATTGTTGAACCGGCACGCAGAAACGCGGTCTGCACATGTAATACTAAACGTTTAACCACTACTACGAATGGACTCAGTAAGTAATTTTTATCATCATTACAAGTTGCATTAACTTCCATTCAATGTAATATTATTTTCAGAACGCCAACAATGGCTGGTGGTTTGTTTTCTATCGATCGAAAATATTTCTTTGAGTCTGGTTCGTACGACGAGGGCATGGATGTTTGGGGCGGGGAGAATTTAGAGATGTCATTCAGGGTGAGTTGTCAGTTAGTGATATTTCTAGTTAAGACATGTTGTTCAATTATTATTGTTCAAGTCACACGTATGTGGATCTTTTTGAATCTACAAACGTTTTCATGTATCTGCGCATACACGACAGATCTAGTTGACGAGGGAAAACAGGGCCTCAAATGTGTCTAAATTGTTTTCTACAGATCTGGCAGTGTGGCGGGAAACTCGAGATCTTACCATGTTCACGTGTAGGTCACGTGTTCCGCCCACGTTTTCCATACAGCTTTCCAGGGGGGTACAACGAGGTCAGTGTCAACCTTGCCCGTGTTGTTCGTGTATGGATGGACGGATACAACAAATATGTTTACATGAAAAGGCCCGACTTTAAAGACATTCAACTTGGCGATATAAGACCCAGAAAGGAACTTCGTCAACGACTCAAATGCAAAAGCTTCAAGTGGTACCTAGAGAATATTTACCCCGAGCAAACGTTTCCGGGGGGTGATGCTCAAGCTTTTGGTGAGGTCAGTGACTCATTGTAAAACTCACGCGGAATGCTCAGAGCACTGCCAAGTTTTAGAGATCATTCATACAGTCTCCATACACCTACAAAAGGCCCATTGCATGTGAATCAATGCAGCTTTATCTGGAGGACAAAATAAAAGCTTTTTGCCCTCTTCGAACTAAAATCCATTGTTTTGTCCTCCAGTTGGAGCTGCATTCCTATGAACTGCAAGGGGTCTATAGATTATAATAATTAACATAAATTATCATAAATAACATTAAAACGAGGCTAACGATGAATAGAAAATAGTTTAGTTATGATATCAAGTGTAGAATGTCCTGCAAAAGTAAGATATATAATGACTTCCTTTAATGTCGTTTTTGTGTTAATAACCTTAATGAAATAATTCCATGTTTCATAATTATGGGACATATCAAGCTTGTTTTTCGAGCTTTTATAACAAAACTAAAATCCAATGGTTTATAATTAATCCCTCTTTGCATTAGAATCATTTGATAAGCAATACAACAACAAAGTGACAAAGGATAAATATTTTAACTGATATTATAATTCTTATTATTTTACAAAATAGATTTATTATTTTACAAAATAGATTTAATCTGATCTATGAAATAAAATTATTCATATCTTATAACAAATAAACATTTTGTTTTGTAATTTTGTATCTTGTCATTTATCACTGATCAGTAACTGCAGAAATGACGCGGTAGATAGTACTAACATCACCATCAACAACAACAACAACAACAACACTGAACCAACCCAACAAACAAACAAAAAATAACAAAGCAATTATTCACGAAGTATATACGTAACATACACATACGAACATAAATATGTCCGTGCTATTATCATACTACAACTGTATGAATTTCTAAATTAAATATTTAAAGACTCAACCGCGAAAATCTCTTCTCTATATAAGTCTGTACATGTTAGACAAACATAACAACACCAAGTTAAGGTTGTTGCGTTTCAGTTAAATGAAGGGTTTTCATGTATGTATTCAAATTTGACACATTATAAAATTATTTTTAGCTTCCATTCTGGAAAGATATACTTTCGAAATGCTGAAGTACACTTATACTTCTCGGAGCAGAATGGATGAAATGGTCTTCTTTCCTTTCCGGAATGCTGCGGAGAGTAAACAAATATGATCTTTGTTCTAGAGATTCCGGAATTGCAAGTGATAATTGGCCACTAAAAGGAGCTTTGTCGGTTTTATTTCATACGTATTTATTCACAATCTAAAGTTACTGACTGCCTTTTAGGAATCTCTAGAAATCAACATCCTCGATTTATTATTTATCTACTATTGGGACGTTCGTTGTACATAAATGATGAAGATTTAAACAATTTGCTTCATTGTTTCAAAGAAATACCTCAATTTAAACTTCAATTCCTGTTTATACTAAGGCGATATATTTAAATTTACACAGATACGCAACCCACAAACAAGAATGTGTGTCGATACGATGGGGAAAGCGTTTGGTGGCGCACTCGGATATTCTCTTTGTCATGGGATGGGAGGCAATCAGGTGAGTCAGCACAGACAATTCTGTTTGCGCATGCGTTAGTTTACTTATGCAAATTATCGAATGACTCAGATCCCACATGGTTAAAAGCCAAATTGTCATATACGACTGGAAGTGAGTTCTTGTTTAGTCAGCTTTGCGCAGTGGCATTACCGTAGCCAGTGAGGTCCAACCGAGGTGCGGTTATTGCTGATTGAAAACTTTTCCCAATATCCCGCAAGACGGCTTGAAATACAGCCGGCTTTGCAATTTTTGGAGACTCGAAAGAGTCAACACATTGAATGAATAAAACTAAATTCTATTTTATGATACATTGAAATTAAATTTTTTTTTGTTTGGCTTTGCGTTTTTCAGTATTTATAAATAACTTATCAAAAGAAATGACTTATTTGCTTTGTTTCCAAAAGCTTGCTATCGTTTCAGATGATGACTGAAGACTTTTAGGGCGCTAGAACTACAATAGTACGAATAAATTCTGATTTTAGTGCTACTAATCTAGTTTGAAATCTAAATTATTTTAAACTTCAAAGCGGGCTGGTTTCTTTTGTTTACATAACTGTGCATTGCGCATTCCTCAAGAGTCAAAACATCTCCCACACGTTACAAAGTTTGCTCGGCATGTAAGACTGTTTGTGTAGCCTTCATCAAGTCAGCTTTGCGCAGTGGCATTACCGTAGCCAGTGAGGTCCAACCGAGGCGCGGTTATTGCTGATTGAAAACTTTTCCCAATATCCCGCAAGACGGCTTGAAATACAGCCGGCTTTGCAATTTTTG